TTTAATATCGATTTAATTGATTTCATTTTCGCAAATTTTGAAAATTTGACTTGCAAAATTATATAAAGAAATGAAATCATATATATTTATACATACAGTTCAAAAAGTTTTCTTTGACGTTCAAATTTTTACTTAATGAATCAATTAATTACTTGGATAGCTTAATATTGATTTAATTGATTTAATTTTAAAAAATTTTAAAAATTTTATTTGCAAAATTAGAGAAATAAAATTAAATATATTTTTTGAAAATGATTTACATATAGTTCAAAAAGCTTTGTCGTTCAAATTTTTACTTAATGAATCAATTAATTACTTCAATAATATCGATTTAATTGATTTCATTTCGCAAATTTTGAAAATTTGATTTGCAAAATTATATAAAGAAATGAAATCAAGTGTATTTATACATACAGTTCAAAAAGTTTTCTTTGTCATTCAAATTTTTATTTAATGAATCAAGTAATTACTTCGATAGCTTAGTATCCATTTAATTGATTTCATTTTCGCAAATTTTGAAAATTATATAAAGAAATGAAGTATATTTATACATACAGTTCAAAAAGTTTTCTTTGACGTTCAAATTTTTATTTAATGAATCAATTAATTACTTCGATAGCCTAATATCGATTTTCGCAAATTTTGTGGCTTACACTGATTAGCTTCTGGATCTTTCATACACATAAAATTTTCATTTACGAAAAATAGAAAATGTGTAATTGGAATCTTTATTTCAAACCACGTGTGTCATAAAAATGCATTTTCAATATATCAATAATGAGAAAGGCGATTTTAATATCTCTCTACGATCTTACTATATTCTTCCCTCATCGACATTGCTCGATAGAGTATCCTCGAGGACAAATATTATATCACCGATGGAAGGAACTGATGGAAGAAGAGCGACGAGTATTTTTAGCGCGCGCTTTATTTTTATTCGAGCAGTCCAATACCAAGTGATCCAAATCCAAGAGGGAAGTTGTAAATAGAGAAATTTCGTGAAATTCGAAATTCCAAATTAATCGAACTTCGCCCAATTCGAATTTTGTCGAATCTCGACAAAGATTAATCGTTGGCCAATCTTACCCTCTTTAAATATTCTTAAGAAACGTCTTAAGATTCGCTTCGAAACAAACTGGAACTATCTTGTCTAGAGAAAGCGGAAAGAAAGAAAGAAGGAAAAAAAGAAATAAAAAAGGAAATGAAGTAATCGAATGCTCAAGGGTGGGCTGTGCTGTTATTCGATGCTAAAATTGACTGGATCGCCACTGGTTGACACTGTGCCAAATACTCGCAAATCGTGATGCGCCTCCGTAATCTTCTTCTTCGTCTGACGAAACGCGTAATTTCATAACAATGAGGGAAAAAATAAGAAGAGAGAGAGAGAGAGAGAGAGAGAGAGAGAAGACGGGGGGTGAGTCGACGCTGGCCAACGCTTGTTGCCGTTGGTGACGGCCCAAGAGCTTTTCCTGTCTTCGTCAGGTTTGGCAGATCACCAACTGGCCATCCCCGATGCGTTCGAGGTTGGAAAATAACTTGGAGCAAGCGATACGGACACCGAATAGACACTTAATCGCCCCTTTTAGGCCACTGTCAATCCTCTCTTCTACAGCTTTGAATATGGTGTGAATTTAGAAAGATTCTTATTTTTGTATCATTTAG